TCATCAGGGACAATGTCGGCTTCTAATGGAAAAAGAATTTTTCAAATCGGTCCAGTAGTTTCGGAGCCTATTCGAAACAAACAAACAAACAAATCTTTCCTCTTTATAATATTAGTATAGATAATATAAAACAAAAAATGATAATATGTAAGTATATTTGTTTTATATATACGTGAATCATTCATCCAATTGTTATGAAATTTAGTACAGTTGTAGTTAGCTTTCTAAGAAAGGTTTCTCTCGTAAAACCACCAATGTAGGATGGATAGGGCACAATTTAAAGAAGTCAATGTTTTTTTGCATGAAAAGTTTCGTGTTTGACTATCGCTAATTGTATCATTAGTGTTAATCACCTATCAGCAGAGCGTGACCGGTTGTCATTAGTATTTATAAAGTTATTTACTGCCGTAAATGTTTTTTTTCTGTACATAATAAGAATTTATAAGTACCTTGAGGTATGGTAGTGTATTTGGTTTACGGTTTCGACGTCACAAAGTTTCCACTCAGTCAACCTCCTTTTAAATGGAATTTGGGATTTTTTTATTTTTTATTGTTTTAAGTACTTAACTGTGGTTAATTTGTTTTCTTCAGCAAGTATATACCAAGGGACCTCGGAGATTTAGTCCCATCGCATTGATCGATTTAGAATCTCATTCTGTGATTAGCAAGAGGATTTAAAAAAAAAGGTCCATCGTTTTTACTTTAGCATTTCGCGATATAAAAGAGCTTCACAAGTCAAAGTCGTCTAAAATAAAGACGTAAAATTCGTTGAACTGACAATCTTACCGAACTATTTTCTTGACCTTTTTTGTTGGATTAGATTATACATACAAAACTATACCGTGAAGTGTGGCCTAGCGTGATAAGAAGCGTACTTTACTCTGTATGTGTTGCCCGCAAGTGACTTTGAATAATAAACATTCCTTTTATGCTATACATATTAGCGGCCAGCTACGGCTCCGCTCGGGTCTTTAATAAAAATTTCAACAATATTTGACGTTGTTTTATTTTTTTAAATAAAAGAACACTTATTGCGGCATAACTACAATAGTTAGAAATATGTTGCCATGAAACTTTTTAAAATTAATAATGTGTTCTACAAAGTCGTAGTACATTATTTAATTCTATCATCAATAGTGTTCGCAGAGCACGCGATGTAAAGAATATTTTAGGTAATTTTTTAACACCTTGGGTCACATTATTGGAGTTTCAGTAAGGATTCCTAATTTTTTTCAAAAAATATTATTAGCCTTTGTCACTCGGGAATAGTGTAGCTTCCAAATAGTGAAAGAATTTCTCAAATCGGTTCAGTAGTTTCGGAGCCTATTCAATACAAACAAACAAATCTTTCCTCTTTATAATATTAGTATAGCAAACGGATTCCAACTAAAACTTAGTCAATATATCAGTTTTATTTGCGCTCCTAGATTTTTCATATTCGTTTCTCGTGAAATGAGTTCGTGTGGTCGTTTTATTGACTCGGAAATTTAATAGTTTTTTTAGTAGGTAAACATGACTTCTCTGTCTCTTTAAATAAAGTTTGAATAGTAAAACAATTTGATGTTTCTGCTTCAAACTCGGAGTGATTTAAGTTTCAAAGAAAAATATCACGATTCAATAAAAACCAACGGTCCGAATTACAATGTTTCAGCTAAACAGTCATCTTCTTGATCATATAAGGCTCGGTTAATATTAAACTATCAACCAGATATTTTAAGGAAACACCCCTTGAGTATCCCAATGAGAAAATTTTGGAATGATGAAACGGACGAAAGTATTACAATTCTGTATTATACTTATGTTTGTCATTGTAAATATCCTCTTCAAATTATAAAAGCACCACATACTACATTAGAATTAAATTACAAATTTAACATGACTGAAACCGTGGGCACACTTTAGCTCTAAAATGGCAAACTAGAATAGACCAAATACCCTTTTTTTTGAGAATGTTTTACGGCCCTGTATGCAGGTTCTTATGAGCCGACTGATTGTTAGTGTGACGAGACTAATAAATAAATTAGGATCAAATCCAGGAATAAGGAAAAGAGAAAAGAATATCAAACATTTATTGAACATTTAGGTGTTGTTACATTGATCGAAGGTTTAAGCCGATTTTAGTTAAAATGATATTAAATCCTATCAAACATTCGATAACATGGTCTTATTCATAATTATCGAAGCTTTATAAGCCGATTATAAGAACAGTCAAACAGTAATTCATCATAACTGATTCGTTCATTAGATATACAAAGGGTTCGTGGCCCATACAGCCTAATCTTTGGTAACAAAGGCTGGCACTATGTCCCAAGAACGTAATACTAAGCCGAAGAAAACAAACAGTTGGTCGTGACAGACGACCAGGGATAATATCAATGGGAGCACTATGCTACGAGTGTTATACAAAATGGAAACAAAATCAAGAAGTCACAACTATATAAGTGCGATTGCACAAACTGAAGGCAAGCCCGACTTCAATGACCGAATTACTTTTTTTGCTAAGAAATGGCAATTTAGTGTTATTATAGCACTTGAAAGTGACCCTAGCGATCGACATTACCATTTTAATACAGAATTTTATCGGTACGCCCTGTAGATTTAAACAGGCTTAGCAAACAAAACACTTTAGCTCTTCTTATAACAGGCTTATAAAGATTCTTAGCCAAAGACACCTGTGACAGAGAAGCTAAGAAGTGTGCGATTGGGATGGTATGGACATGTGATGAGACGAAATGAAAATGAGTTTGGTAAGAGAGTGTTAACCTAAGAATATGGAAGGATATAGAGGAAGAGGTAGACCTAAAAAGAAATGGATGGATTGCGTGACACACGATATGCGCAAGACGGGAGTGAGCGAAAAAATTGTATATGATAGAGGACTATAGAACGAGAAAACATGTTGCGCCGACCCCAGGTGACTGGGAGAAGGGCAGGAGAATGATGATGAACACTTAATGAGTAAAACCATCAAGACGTTGTATGTGTCAAACGTCATATCTTTTTAATAACGAATAGATATACTTTTACTTCCAACTAAAATAATAAAAACAAACGTATGAACATTAATTGGCTCTTATATTTTAAAGCGCCGCTTAATCTCAATTCGAAATTAGTTTTTGCATACGCTCTCCATTCCAAAGAAGAATTTGAAAATGCATTTCACGCAGATGGTATCTATTTGATAAATCGAAATCAAATTAATCAATTCAGAAATGATTAAAATATTGATGTTTTCTAGAAATCGTTCCCGAAAGTTTTTATGCAAATCTTCGACTGACCTTTAAAAATTTTATTTGGTCTATAACATTTTATTATATTTTTCCTTACTACTTATGTGATTTTATGTGGATCAGACACTGACACGTGACAACAGCCAATTGATTGGCGCGGCGCTTGGGTGTTGATCTTGATCCGTTCCAATGACATTATAAAATCAAGTTACTTTTTATATATCTGTATATTAATACGTGAAGCAAAAACTTTGTATCCTTTTTAAGAAAATTGCGCCGACGGAGGAGCATGAATTTTTCCACACTTATAGAGAATATAGAGAAGAAGTGCACAATGCTAATATTTTTTTTAAATAATGCATAAAAGATACATTCAATCAATAAAGAAAACATTACACACACTACATACGATGTATTTGACGCACACACGCATGCATACTATTTATTGTTCTTGACGTTTGTTGTCAAATTGAGAATAGATTAAATATTGTTTGTCTTTATTAATATTTTTTTATAGAGTAGCCTTGGCGAAATTTGTGAAAAAGTATAAAATACAATCTTAATAGTATACAAACTTACAATTCCAATTAATTATAGTCAAATTTCGATTACTGCGGGATCTCTAGTATAAATGAATTGCTGTTCGTTAGTCTCGCTAAAAATCGAAAACGGCTGGACCGATTTGGCTAATTTTGTTCTTGAATTATTTGTGGAAGGCCAGAGAAGGTTGAAAAGGTAAATAAATATGAAAACGCTCTGAATTAAATAAAAATAACAATTTTGTTTTTCCTTTGATGTGGCCACCGTCGGACGGATTCCGTTTGTTTGTTTTAAGTTTATTTTATACAAAAGTTTAGGACTTTTATTTATCAATTGAGGCACTAAGAATTCTGCCGGGTCAGCTAGTATCTATATTAATACATATTATAAAGAAGAAAGATTTGTTTGTTTGTATTGAATAGACTCCGAAACTACTAAACCGATTTGAAAAATTCTTTCACTGTTTGGAAGATACACTATTCCCGAGTAATCTATTTGAAAAATATTAGAGATTCTTCATAAAACTCTAATAATGTAACCCAAGTTGTAAAAAAAATTACCTAAAATATTCTTTACATCGCGTGCCCTGCGAAAACTATTCATGATAGAATAAAATAATGTACTACGACTTTGTAGAACACATTATTCTTTACAAAAAGTGTTGCGACAGCATATGTCTTTATAGTTATGCTGCAATAAGTGTTCTTTTATTTAAAAAAAATAAAACAACGTCAAATATCGTTGAAATTTTTGTTAAAGACCCAAGAGGAGCCGGAACGTGCCGCTAGTTATAATATAAAGTAATGTTTACAGATAGTTATTGGTCAACCGACAGCACTCATGAACATTCGTCCCGTCACAACAATTCGTACAAAAACACTAAAAAGACACACATAAGGTANGCAATAAGTGTTCTTTTATTTAAAAAAAATAAAACAACGTCAAATATCGTTGAAATTTTTGTTAAAGACCCAAGAGGAGCCGGAACGTGCCGCTAGTTATAATATAAAGTAATGTTTACAGATAGTTATTGGTCAACCGACAGCACTCATGAACATTCGTCCCGTCACAACAATTCGTACAAAAACACTAAAAAGACACACATAAGGTATACTCGTGATACTGGAACACAAACGCGTCAATTTCTCATTGAAAATAATAAGCTTACTTCAATTAAAGTAATTATACCAAAAGTTTCGAATCCAACATTTAAAGAAGTAAAATACTTACCGTGAATCCGATACCCACGGTGGCTGAGAAATTCCCAGCCTGGAATTTCCCAGTTTCGAATTGTACCAATAAAGATGTTTTCCCGACACCGCTGTCGCCCAGCAAGATTGTCTGTTGAATAAGTTATTTGATTAATTTACACAATGTAGAGATGCGATATAAGCTTTTGCGGGTTTAGTATTCTTTACAACAGCAAACTCTTTCTTTTAATTCGATACGTTAAGCGCAAGATAACCAAGTAACAATTATTAAGTGGTCTCATTTTAAAGGCTACGAAATCCTTTGTATCATTCGGCTACAGTGAGTTACAATGTTGGGTGATTTTTTTTATGGAATTATAGTTTGCCCGAGTATCAATCAGAAGGTATGTACCCCGAGTAAGCTACTATCGCTTCCTAAACATCCATCTGTTGTTGGAATACATATGCCTCCCATCCCTAACTAGCTTCATCTGTTTTCCCTCTAGTTTCTATATTCATTATTCTCATCATTTCACTTGAGTATTTACGTAATGACGTAATGACGATTTTTGAGTGGAAGTTCTCATGACATCTGTCATGAAAACTTCCACTCAAAAATACAAAAACAAATGACTAATGAACAGATTCATACGATATAAATAAGACTTCGACCATGTACCTAATAGCGGACATTACCGTCGCGTTTCCGATCCGGTGGTAGATTCTAAGAGCCATTGCTCATGCTAGGGCTAGTGTTAGGAACCTCCTCAGGTTAGAGCCCCTTGAGCTTACTTACTCGTTCGGTTACGCTGGTATAGCCTCTAAAGTCCTCTAAAAGCTTAGATAGGAAGAAAAAAAGTGCTATAAGTCCGTGGGTCCTGAGAGTCACCTTTTTTATTTATTGCTTACACGATGGAACGAGGGAAGCCTATGTATGTGTAAATGCCGCCACCCACCTTGAGACATGAGGTCTAAGTTTCAGTTGTATAGAGCAACTAGTTTAGCTTATCGGCCTATTCATACAATAAAACAGTGGGTTGAATTACCAAAAGCATTGGAACAAGTACGTCGACGCAATTAAGATGAAACGCTATTGATTCGAGGATGAAGTGGGAAATCAAAGAGCATAATTTGGACCAGCCACAAAATATGGCTAAATATTAATTAACTTTTATTTATTAGAAAGAAGTCTACTTGTATAGCTGTCTATTCCAGATAACGTTCGTGCCTTTGAATTTTTCAATACAGTACGACTACCGGAATTTTGTTTTTGCTAAAAAATTAACTTTTATTTTCATTTTCGTTTCGTTTTACAAAGTAATTGATATCTTTTCAAGCGAAAGCATTTACTTTTTTTAAACGGATGATTGCGTTATTTTTTATTGTTTCCGAAAGAAAAAAAAATGAACTGGAAAAAAAATAATACAAAGAAGCTCCTAATTACCCGAAGTTTCTTTTAAAAAAATACTTTCGAGAAAATTCCTACGAATTTTTGTTTTGGTTCGCGATTAAAAGTTCTTTAATTGACTGCTTCGTTGGGGAATTTCTCGAAATTCTGCTAATTGTAAAATTTAATTTTAAACTTAGAAGCACAAAAGCTGAATTTGCGATTTGCAAAAATCGCTTTCACGTGTGTGTTTTAATTATCTGTTTTAATTTGATCTTTTCAATGTATCTTTAATCTCTTTTGTTAATTCTTTCGGTAATCGAATTTTTAATGTTGAATTTAATTTTCATAACATGTATTTCTATAAACGCAAAACTACCACCCGATTTTTACGTAAAATAAATCGAGTCAATGAACATACTATTGTTTTCATTATTGTAGATGTATCTGGTATTACCCGGGGGTCATACTATTTTCTACGTTTTTTTTTTATTGCTTACATGGGTGGACGAGCTCACAGCCCACCTGGTGTTAAGTGGTTACTGGAGCCCATAGACATCTACAATGTAAATGCGCCACCCACCTTGAGATATAAGTTCTAAGGTCTCAGTAAAGTTACCACGGCTACCCCACCCTTCAAGCCGAAACGCATTACTGCTTCACGGCAGAAATAGGCGGGGTGGTGGTACCTACCCGTGCGGCCTCATAAGAGGTCCTACCACCAGTAATTACGCAAATTATAATTCTGCGGGTTTGATTTTTATTACACGATGTTATTCCTTCACCGTGGAAGTCAATCGTGAACATTTGTTAAATGCGTATTTCATCAGAAAAATTGGTACTCGCCTGCGGGATTCGAACACCGATGCATCGCTATATACGAATGCACCGGACGTCTTATCCTTTAGGCCACGACGACTTTCAAAACGTTCTTCTAAGTTTCGACTTTAACGACTTTCTACGTTACAAATATATTGGTGCTAAAATTTCATCCAAACACGTGCCCACATATGTGCACAAATATAAAACAATTAACCATCAATTCTTTTAAAACGTTCCACAATTACTTAAATCTGTACTTGACCAACCGAACAAAGCATCGCCTTTCTCAACAACTCAACTGTGCTTTCACGAGACTCTGCGGCATTAACTGGATTGCTTGAGTATTTAAACGGACTCCAATTGAAAAATTCTAGTTTTGCAGCTCAGTACAAATTTAAGTTAAGCTTTAAGTTTTTAATACATTTTTAATCCAACTAAACTTCTCATTTCTTAATGCAATCTCGTAATATAATAGTCAAATAAACCTATTGTAATAAAAAATGAGCAAACGAACAGATAGTACTTACTGTATGTAAGTTAATTTCAATAAAATATAAATAAATACACTGCTGCTTGAGATACAGGTTTTATCACCTAGTTCAAGCACAGATGCAAATTATGATTGTGTTTCTACTCCTACGTTTTTTTTTATTTATTTTTTATTGGATAGATGTGTGGACGAGCTCACAGCCCACCTGGTGTTAAGTGGTTACTGGAGCCCATAGACATCTACAGCGTAAATGCGCCACACACCTTGAGATATAAGTTCTAAGATCTCAGTATAGTTACAACGGCTGCCCCACCCACGGAATAGATTATCTATTCCGTGGCCCCACCCTTCAAACCGAATAATAATAATTAATAATTTAATAATAAGTTAATAATAAATAAATAAAGAAATAAACAAAGGTATTAGATCATCTTGTGAATCCGCGTCCGCACGGGTAGGTACCCCCACTATGCCTATTTCCTGTATAATGACTATAACTATATAACTATAATATTAACTGTTACAAAAATACATAAATCCTCTAAATAATTTTGTATTTTTTCGCAAAATAGAAGCCAGGCTGCCTTTAAAGATTCGAGGTTAAATATATCCTAAAATGTTAACACTTAAAACTGGCACAGGCTGCATTTAGCTCAGTTGAAACACAGTTTTGAATTGAAGCAATCCTCATAATGTGTGTTAAGTTAAAAGCCAATCTTCTGAAAGGCACAGACGGGTTCGAAAACATTAACACTCACAGAAAACGACTTCTACATGATATGTACTTTAGGAGTAAAGCACTTCACATATATTTGAGGGACTATACATTACGCGAATTTACTGTGAAGCGTTTCTCCTAACAGCTGTTTGACGTCTATGTAATCTTGCAAGTTCTCGTATTAAACAAATTAAATGGAGAAAATTTGTGGAAGACAATGACGTTTTGTTGTTTTAGTCCCTATAGATAGATATTGGAACAGTTATTATAGCAAAATAAGCACACGGAATGGAATTAAAAAAAAAAAAAACTTATTGCCAACAAAAGCAAACGGGTATTCGTAGTGCCAAAGATACAGCCGTAAAACTTGTCTAAGTCGCGTCGCGTGAATCTTTTCGAACTACGTTTAAATAATTTTCTTATCAGTTCTAATAAGAATAACTATTCTGTAACGACGGCTGGTGCGATGGTAATAGTTAATGGGGGGATCATCTCTAATCATTCCTCAGGGTACTCCCATGGAACGCACATTATATTATCATCAAATATCCACATATTACTAATGAGAATCGACCCCGAAAACAAACAAAAAAGGTAACATCAAAAATCATTGAATGGACATAAATAATGATGATACATTTCTTTGATAATTTCTTTAGAATTTACTGTTAATTCACTACTTCTTGAGGTGTATTTTTTATTGCTATTTAAAGCTATTTTACTAAACGATACTACACAGTTAGATGTTAAAAACATTGTCCACAAATATTCTCCCGGGATTCGAATATACGTATTAATATATTTTCAGTCATCTGGTTTCCATGGCAACCTATCGTTAGCTTTTGTAGAGGAAGGCAGATTAGTGATAGCTCCCCTCGTCGGTTAGTTACAATCAATTATATACAGGTCAATGGAAGCAAACTACANTTTACTAAAAGATACTACACAGTTAGATGTTAAAAACATTGTCCACAAATATTCTCCCGGGATTCGAATATACGTATTAATATATTTTCAGTCATCTGGTTTCCATGGCAACCTATCGTTAGCTTTTGTAGAGGAAGGCAGATTAGTGATAGCTCCCCTCGTCGGTTAGTTACAATCAATTATATACAGGTCAATGGAAGCAAACTACACTAAATTGATTACTTACCCGTCGAGCCATGGTCGCAGTTGATTATAATATAAGATGATCTTGTAGGTACAGAATTTCGATTATTCGTATCAAAATTTGCGCTAAATCATAGCCCTGCAGTGTCTGTTCGTGTTATATTGTGGACAGGTTTTATGGTTAAATTGTTTTGTAAGAGAGGATGCGAAGTCACGAAAAACGACGCGATTTTATTTCAGAGGCCATGGTCACCATCAAGCTTTTTTTCCTACCTAAGCTAAGAGCCTTGAGAGGCTATATCAGCGCAGCCTTAACTAGTGTAGGTGAGCTCACGGGGCTCAAACCTGATGACGTTGCTAACACGAACCCTAGCAAGAACTGTGCTTCGCAGAATCTACCACCGGATCGGAAACGCGACCCACTGAGAAGATCCGGCGAAAAACTCAGTGGGTTGTGTCTAAGGGTTAATTTACTCGTCGAGCCCTTCGTCGCGAGCGACGGGTTCGACGAGGACGATGACCGGGCAAGTCATTATATAATTGGTTCTTTTTTAATTATCCGAGGTTACGTTAATGAGGACTCATATATGATAATTAGTTCTCAAATAAACGAGCGATTCTAATGAGCACTATAGGTATCTGCTGGGTTTTATCTTGTTTATTTTTCATCAATCGTCCGTAGTATTAATGAAAAAATATATCAGAAAAACAAATCTAATCTATATCTAAATATAATCTAATCAATCTAATGAAATTATTTTCTTTTGGCATTTGGAAATCCAAATTTTGACAAAATGAAATCACCAAATCCCATGAAAGAAAAGAAACATTTAAGGAAGAATAGAGAAGTACTACTACAACTACTATTGGAGATATAACCCAAAGAAAGGTTGTTGTCAGGCAGGCGGCTGGTTGCAAAACTCATGCCAAATCTCTATGCAGCATAATAAGAGGAATGCCCGATTCCACATATTGTGGCATAAAGGCAAGAACAGTCCGCAGTGTTAGTAACGTAATCGTGTAATAAGGCACTGGAGAGTTCGCAATGCTTAAAAAAACCGCGCTAACCTTACGAAACGCGGCTCGACGCTACTTCATTAAGTATGACGTCATTCGGGGCCAAAATATAACGAACTAACTGTAGAACGCCGGTTTCGGCAACTGTAACCGACGGGATGATCAATGATGTACATAACAATTAATGAAACCATAGTATATACACTAACACAAGAGGATTAGCCTTAAAACCAATAAAATTCCGTTCAACTACTTTAAGTATTTCTCTAAGTTCCACCCTAATTTCTAACTTGGATATTAATGGTATGGCTTGTGGCGGACGCGAACACGGGGTAATATGTGAATGTGAATCATACGCTGGCCTGAATAGATATTAACTTGTAGATGTTACGACAAAAGAAAGATCTTCCACCCCAGCGGGTGAAATTATTCGGTAGACCGACGCGGCGACGGTCCGAATGTTATTATTCGGAACTCGTACGGATGCAAACTAATCTTGAATATTTCGTTAGCTAGATTTAGGCATCTGTCAAATATCTTGTATGCCGTAATAGCTACCAGTTGCAACCTCATTTTAATTATACGAATGATCGGAATCTTGATTTATTTATTTATAAATTACAGCTTCATTTTCTTGGATGACGTGAACTAATCGAATCGAAGTGAAAGTGAGGAGAATCGCATTTGTAATGTGTGTAACGCTCAACCGAGACCGCACACTTACCTACCACGAAGAACTGAGCATACCTTCTAACAGTCATGTGCGCCTGGTATCAAGCTATTTCCGGATCATATAGAAATGACGATATGGAAGGCCAACAACCATTTCGCGACATGAGGTCAATAAGTCTTTTTGTTTTGTTTTTCAAAATAACTTCAAGACATGCAATATTAGTACCTACTATTTTAGTTGGCCCGGAAGCCTTCCCTAACCAGAATATTGTGTTTCACGCGAAGTTCGTGAGACCATTGTGTTGTGTGATATAGGCTGAATATCTTCTTCGTGTAACTCATGGTTGACTGGAATTGGTTTGATGATTAACCTTGTAATCGAATTACTTGAATTGGTAGCATTGCCGCTCATGGACCTCGGCAATTACAGGGACTCAACCAAGCCGTTGCTCATTCATCTATATATATAAATGAATTGCTGTTCGTTACTCTCGCTAAAACTCGAGAGCGGCTGGACCGATTTGGCCAATTTTGAATTATTTGTGGAAGTCCAGAGAAGGCTTAAAAGGTAGATAAATATGAAAATGCCCGGAATTAAATAAAAATAACAATTTTGTTTTTCCTTTGATGTGTCCCCCGTCAGACGGGTTCCTTTTGTTTGTTTTAAGTTTATTTTAAACAAAAGTTTAGATCTTTTACTTATCGATTGAGGCACTACGAGGTCTGCCGGGTCAGCTAGTTTTTAATATTTATGGGTTTAACTTCTCCTAGCAAATACTATTCCCAAAGCGCGCTCTTTCAGTTTTTAAAGTATAATGTTATTTGATTAGTGAAACTGAACAATTCTGGCTCTAAAAATATTAACAGGCAAACACACCGTTCACATTACCTATGATCTCATTGTTGATATTGAGAATGCACTCAAATGTCAAGTTAAAATACTGTCAATGGAAAGTATGATATTATTCAAATAAAAAAAAATAAGGAATAATAAATATGCTTTTTAACAGTCTACCTGATTTGGTGTTCTGTTTATGAAAACCAAAAGAAAAAACAATACGTTTACGAGCATTCCTAATAAGAGTTTTAACTAGAACATTTTGCTTTCTTCGAACGGAGACAAAGGAAATCTTTCACAAAAGAATAATTGTGGTTAATTCATAGTGTACCATTGCTTTCTAACGGCCGTTTTCAATAACCTATCTATCCCTAGTTTCGGTTACTAAAGATAGACAAATCTATATTTTTGTCCTTACTTACGTTCCAATAACCTATCGACGGGCAGCAGTTCCTATCGGATTTATCTATCCATCGTCGGGAGGACGGATAGCCTGCTAAAGATAGAACGCTCATACAAATCGTGCTTACTTCCGTTTCAATNATGTTGTTTCGTATTTGTAGTAGAACGAAACGTATCAAGAGGCTCGGATAAATCGGAGGGAAGAAGCTATCTACTGTTGGTTAAAGAGAGATAGCACTTATCCGTGATTGTGAAACGCAAACTAAGGACAGATACGCTCTTGCTGATATTCGGAGATAGCTATCTATCCGAAAACTCAGATACGTTATTGAAAACGGCCGTAAGATAAAACGTTTATATCCTCCAGTTTGTGAGGAAAATTACTAGCACGAATGGCGGTCCTCGTCCGAGTTAAAAAATCCCCCACAGAATTAAATTAACAATAATTTTTAACGTAAAATAAATTAATTACGCAATGACGTTCTAACTAACCTTGAGATATTAGACAATAGTCTTTATTGCATTAGCATATCGTCTCTTTTAAGTTTCAAAAGTGAGAGAATGATCAGAAGAATGGTGGTGACCAAACATAAATGCCTATCAGCAGACTTAGAACTTAAAATGCGTTTTCTCTAATCGCTTAGACGGTGAAAGAGCTCCAGTTCGCTTGGTGTTACCAGAACCCATAGATATCGCAACGTAAATACCGCCGCCCATATTAAGATATGAAGCTTCAATTAAATTGCCCAATGTCCGAATTGTTTTGTACTTGCCTATATGATTTGAAATTAGCATCGCCCGATATGAGTAACAGAGAATCTTAACCCTTAAGCCACGACGACTTCTCTAAACTACGTAAAGCTTGTAAAAAGGCCAACAATAGAAGTTTAAGGTGAACAAGGATTTATCGTCTGATTAATAGTTTAAAAATAGCAATTGTCATTACTATCCTCTGACCGTTTTTACACTTTGTTCACTGTTTTGTTTCTTAGATTTTCGATCGTAAAACGAATAACTGACCTTGTGAATTGGCACGTCTTCCTCGGCGTGATACCGCATGGGAGTTTCTGCGGGAGGATGGTAGTCCCTGTACCCGGTCGGAGACGGAGTGCTTCGAACTTTGGGGGCTCGAAGAGTCTCGTCTTCAAAAACATCATCACTCATGCTGTCGTCCGTTCCCATTTGCTGTAAAGATAAGTTATATTAAATACTAGCTTTATCACTTTTAAAAATAGGAATCTTTAATGTTCTTTAAGTATTCCTTTAAGTATTTCAATATTAATGGCATAATTTTGCATTCAACTTTCTAGTTTGAGCAGATTCATATTATAGTATACCAGGTGGGCTGTGAGCTCGTCCACCCATCTAAGCAATAAAAAAAAAAAGAAAAAGTAGTAAGGATCCCTAATTTTTTTAAAAAAGAATATAGCCTATGTCACTCGGGGATAGTGTAGCTTCCAAACAGTGAAAGAATTTTTCAAATCGGTTCAGTAATTTCGCAATCTATTCAATACAAACAAACGAACAAATCTTTCCTCTTTATAATATTAGTATAGATAAAATATAAATATTATAGTATTTTAAGAAAATTTCAAGCATGGCGTTTCGGAAATATTGGTTTGGTAAAGTTTTCTTCTCAACCCCACGTAGCAATTATGCGGCCCGACTCGAAGTCGCGGTATCCGTGCCGAGATTTATGGACTTGGTTCGAGTTTTCATTGTGTGAACAAATAAGGGGACATATGTGTGGTCCCAAATGTACTACCATACAATACCCTCGCCCGTATCTTCCAGAAAGTTTTATTTAACAAGTCAGTTTAAAGTAATCAAAATATTTATTCTGAATTGAAAAGAATTAGGAATTTATTTCCAATATATTTGCATACAAGCAGTGGATTGAAGTCTTTAAAACGCTTCATAAGATGTAATTATTGAAATTAAAAATGAGTGAGCAGCATTTTCCTTCTTGACATTTTTAAGTGAGGTTTTATTAATGTACTTTAAGTCTCATCTGTTTTTATGAAGGAGGCAAAATGAGCGTTTAATTTTTTTTCACTGCGAAGGAATANGAATTTATTTCCAATATATTTGCATACAAGCAGTGGATTGAAGTCTTTAAAACGCTTCATAAGATGTAATTATTGAAATTAAAAATGAGTGAGCAGCATTTTCCTTCTTGACATTTTTAAGTGAGGTTTTATTAATGTACTTTAAGTCTCATCTGTTTTTATGAAGGAGGCAAAATGAGCGTTTAATTTTTTTTCACTGCGAAGGAATACTTTAATATCAAAGTAAAATTAAGCGACTAAAAAGAGCAACTTAATGAAAAACCTCTTCGCTCCAAGTGCTTTCAAATATTGACAGACAAATATTATATTTTGATTAATTAAAGGGATATATATCGTTTAGATATAATGACAGTAATATAGTTAAAATTTGAACCCTTTTTTAATATGCTTTTATATTAGCTTCAGACGTATGTATGTTTGTCGGACGGAATCTTTGAACATGATTTTGACGACCTTCAAAACGTCGGATTAGCTCGAAATTTGGTATACATATCAATGACCGATGACAATTCGATATTTAAAAAAAATGTTATTACTACTTACTGGTACTTACTGGTGGTAAGACCTCTTGTGAGTCCGCGCGAGTAGGTACCACCGCCCTGCCTATTTCTGCCGTGAAGCAGTAATGCGTTTCGGTTTGAAGGGTGGGGCAGCCGTTGTAACTATACTGAGATCTTAGAACTTATAAATCTCAAGGTGGGTGGCGCATTTACATTGTAGATGTCCATAGGCTCCAGTTACCACTTAACATCAGGTGGGCTCCGAGCTCGTCCACACATCTAAGCAATAAAAAAAAATATTAACTTGACTTTAACTTCATTACGTACTATATATCTTTTTTAATCAGAAAAAAAGGACAAACGGTGGCCTGAAGTCCTTTCCAGCTTCGTGGGTGAGCACGTACTCACCCAGATGGGGTAGGATTTGCTAACATCCGCCCGAACGGCTCCGAAGGAGGCCTAACGGAGCTGCTCGGTTATAAAGTCGTCGCTCGTGGCCTAAAGGATAAGACGTCCGGCGCATTCGTATCTAGCGATGCACCGGTGTTTGAATCCCGCCAGCGGGTACCAATTTTTCTAATGAAATACGTATTTAGCAAAGATTGATTTCTACAGTGAAGGAATAACATCGTGTAATAAATACCAAACCCGCAAAATTATAATTTGTGTAATTACTAGTGGTAGGACCTCTTGTGATTACGCACGGGTAGGTACCACCACATAGCCTATTTCGGCCGTGAAGCAGTAATGCGTTTCGGTTTGCAGGGCGGGGCAGCCGTTGTAACTATATTGAGACCTTAGAACTCTTATCTCAAGGTGGGTGGCGGCATTTACGTTATAGATGTCTACGCGCTCCGGTAACTTAGATCCATTAACAAAAAACGCTTATTTTTAAATTTGATTTCTATCTGTCTATCTTTGTAACGGTATCTTTCAATATAATTAGCACACGTACAAAAGGACCGATATTTTTTTATTATAATATTTTTTTTACTTTTATTTCAACCTTCTGTTTTTTTCAAAGTTTTTATACAACTTTTTTTTCTTTTGCACTAGATATATTGTCCAATCTTAATTTTACTATATAAGTCATTCCTCCCATCAAACTGGTATGTTGTAAACTGGACTGTTTTGTATTAGAATTAGTCTGGCTAGTGGTCAGAGGCGGCTTTATCTATGGAGATGGCTTTCCAATGATCCCGCTACATTTGTACCTATTCCATTTTGACCGCGCGCTTACTAGAGAGCGCTGGGGCAGTGGTCTACAATCTTGTCAACCAAAAGACCCAAATATAGACAGCACACAATTTAAATTTATTGAAGGAGCCACTTTTTTTAACATATATTTTTAACAAAAATGTTTTGGTCATATCTTACAAGGGAAGATAATAAGTAATATTCTGTGCCTGAATTAAACATTTCGCCGAGGAACCGTAGCTGAGGAGTCAAGGAGCCGCGGGTGACCGATCTCTGTGCAAAGGTTATGTTTTTTTTGTGATTTAAGGATTACTGGTGGCCCGGAGGCCTTTCCAGTTTCACCAGGATAGGTGGGCGAGCAAAGGCTCAGCCAAGAGGAGAGCACGGCAAAGGTAATGTCTGGACATGAGCGCTATATGGGCTACATACGTCCTTGCTAATAGTACGCAAACGCCCTACCACCAGTGATTACGCATACATTTTGCTGATTAGATTTTTAAAATCCATTTTTTTTGTTATCACTAGATGGTTCGACTAGTTCAAGTCGTACCTGGTGTTAAGCGGTTACCAGAGCCCATGGACATCGGCAACGTTAATATCGCCACCCATCCTGAGACATCAGTTCTAAAGTCCCGCTTTTTTTTACAGAACATGACTACCCCGCATTTCAAACCGAAATGAATTACTGCTGTTTACGGCATAAATAGGCAGAATGGTAGTACCTAAACGTGCGAGGTCTCAAGACGTCCTACCAACAGTATTTACGTATTTACGTACGTACGTAATTTACGTATTTATAATAAATGATAGGGTTTGATTTTTATTACACAATATTATTCCTTCACCGTGCAAGGCTATCGTGAAATTTTTGTAGGTACGTATTTCATTGGAAAAAATAAACTTTCCGTAAATAATAAGCAAATTATTTAAGGAAAGTTGATTTCGTATTTCTACGGAAATAATAAGCGGAACATACAAAACTTTTTCTGTACAAAAGCACTTTAAAAGAAAATAAAAGCAATTCGAATTTGTACAAAAATCGAGCGTTTACGTGTTCATGTAAAAGTACAAGTACTTAAATGACTTTGTAGGATTTATTCCGTTTTTTAACTATATTATAAATGTCATTCAATTTTTTTTTTTACATATTGATTACGTATTGGGAGATATTCGACAAAGGAAAGATCTTTCGCCGCAAGGGAGAATTTGTTTGGTATATCGACAGTGCAAATGTTATTGTTCGGATTTGTATATGTCCAAATTATCTTAGAGATGTCATTAGCGCGACTCAGGCGTCTGTTAATAGCTATTATTCTGTGATAGCTACCGCCACAAGTGTATTTGAAAATATCATATTTGCATCTCACTTTTCGCACTAGATATGTATACGTTAGAGTAGGATGGAGTTTTTAGCTTCACGTCCTAACGGATCCATCAGATCCAATAACCTTTGCATTAGACGCCTTCAGCTCTAACACTAGGAGCAAGCTTGGGGACCCCGGTAAGCGTACTCGTCGAACTCGACAAAGAGTTCGACGTGCAACCTAACCCATGCATCAGCTCGCCGAGTTTCTCGCCGGACATTCTCAGCGGGTCGCGATTTCGATCCGGCAGTAGATTCATTCGCGAAGCAGCTGCTCTTGAGTTGTTAGGTCTCCTTCGGAGGCGCTCGGGCAGCTGTTAGCAAACCCCACCCCTCCTGGCCGAGCCTTTGCTCGCCCNGTTCCCTCTGTATTTTGTACCGCATGTTCCATGGGGAGTGCTCTGAGGAATTGTTCGAGATGATACCAACGTCTCGTTTTTACCATCGCACCGCCCGCCACCGGAGTAGAGTTCATCCATACTACCTGGAGCCACTGCGGTCATCCACAGTGCGTTTCCAGAGATCTTTTTTGCCACGTACCATCCGGCTATGGAATGAGCACCCCTCCACGGTGTTTCCCGAGCGCTATGACATGTCCTTCTTCAAACGAGGCTTGTGGAGAGTATTAAGCGGTAGGCAGCGGCTTGGCTCTGCCCCTGGCATTGCTGAAGTCCATGGGCGACGGTAACCACTCACCATCAGGTGGGCCGTATGCTCGTCCGCATACAAGGGCAATAAAAAAAAAAAACTGTATAATTTGCTTCTTATTTTGTATTTACTTGCATATTTTTAGTAATTATTTGTATTTAATCGTATGTAAGTCTATCTTATATTATATTTATTTTTCACATGTGTATATAAGTATATATTTTTATGTAAGTTTATTAAGATATAGCACCGTCCATGCTAATTTGCTTATTCCTCTCCCTGCAAGGTTGCCTGGAAGAGATCGGTTTCAGCGATAAGGCCGCCAATTTACGTCACCGTCTATTATTTGTTTTATATGCTTACTCTGTACATGTGGTGTCAAATAAAGAGTTATATTATCTATATATT